AGGTAATGCCCCTCAAAGGAAACGTCAGCAAATAATACGAAAAGTAATTATTATCTCATTTTCTTCCTTCTCTTTCAAAGCTTTGATGCTGAGAATTCTGATCGAAATCCGAATAGGTAGGGATGTTATCAAAGAACATTTTCAAAAGAAGAATTGAACTTTTTAAAATGTCTTTTTTTTTGTTGTTAATGTATCAAATGACGTAAGTGCTAAATTTGCATTGTGATTTAGAAAGGAGGAAAATATTTTTCTAGGAAACATACATAATATATATGTATGTAGGTGTGTACAGCAAACTTTCCTATAAATGTAACCACTACATTATTGAATTCAATTTATAGAAAAATACTTTCGTGTTTGTTTTATATGGGTATTTTTAAATGACCTTGAAAAATTATAAATACGTATCTCTAAAACAGGTCAGTGATATTCAAGACAACGTAACGTAAGCTTGAAAAAATATAATACTTGGGTAAGTTATTTAATTAAAAAACATTTTAAACCACACAGCAATAAGTAAAACATTATTTGACTGTCACTTACGACATTATTCTTCTTATACAAAGCGAGTATTTTTACAATCACGTCATCGACAGGTGGGAGTGACAAGCCGTAATATCGGATCGACTTTTTTAACGACTTTCTTTAAAAAGTCCGACTTCGATTATACAGAGTGCTCTGATTTCCTTTGCCTGTAATTGGCGAAGTTCTTAAAGGTCAGAAGTGATCGACACGTTGTCTCCTATTTAAATGAGTTTTTTTGAAATATTCATGGCATAAATGGAAGGTATCGTTGGTATTTAATGATCTTATGGTTTCTTAATTAGTATTAATCAACATCATCATTGTAATCAACAACTTTCTCTACTCTGAAAATCACGATACTTAGGAGGCAAATAAATTAAACCCAAAAAAATGTTATTAATAACAAAGTAATAAATAATAGAATACCTTTGTTACAATTCATTTTTTTAAACAAGTGCAAGTAATATAAAAAAAAAACAAAAGAGTAAATCCGGAACAATTTTCTCATATGTGAATAGATCCCGCTGTATAATGTCAAAATTCATGGCTTGAGTCCCTTGGCATCCATTTTAATGACGTCACCCCTGTTCCCGACGCAACCCTTGAGATTTTCAAGACACTTCTTTGCCTTTTGTTTTGAAACAAACAAAGCTATTATGCCAGACACGCGTGCATAGTTCTAGGATAGGAAAATTATTTAAGAAGTACCTACTTAGATAGCGCTATTGGATATTCCAATAAAAATTTCGGTCTATAAAAAAAATTGAATTATCTGAAATGCTTCTATTAACGCTAATCATATACGTATGTACGTATATATTAATACCGTTGTTCAGTATTCCAGTAACAAGCAAGTTAGGTCAATTGTAGATTTCACAAAAAGTTTTGAACCACACAAATATTTGTCTTGTTTAAAAATTAAAATATCAGTATCCTCATATAATATTATAGTATGATATCACAGTCAGAACCATTAATTTCCTTGTAATTACGGTTTTAAACCTTAATGTATGGAATACACACGAACTATACCTATTTTAAATAAAATACACAAACTGCCCATTTAAAAAATGAATTCGTACGATTTATCACTAAAAATACTGAAGTACTGATGACAAAAAAAAAACACAAACATAAAAAGCAAGCTCCAAAAAAAAAAAACACTAGAGTATCGAAAAACAAACATCGATAAACAGTGAATTAACGCAGGTAGTGCGCCACGAATCGGAATAATCGAATCGATTCTATCGAAACGCAATATCGAGTGGTAGTGAATTGGTCTATTAGTTCACCCTAGTTTAGTTACGGGTCCCCTCTCTAATGTAGTTACTGCTAAGTGTATTGTTTCTTTTTTTGTTCAAATGAACTGACATTTTTACTTGTTAAAATTATATTAATTACTTTATTGCGAATCATAATCATTTTTTTATTAAATAGATGAAGAATAGTCATTATACGTTTGTGGTAGAAAATTGTGCGCTGCCAGGACGCGTACAAATATATTGTGAAAATCTAGTAAATATTTCGGAATCATACAAAAAAAAAAGTGAAATAATTATATTATTATTGAGTCAGATGTTCTTAGTTATAATTACATCTACTTATATATGTACTAATATTATAAAGAGGTAAAAATTTAAGTTTGTAAGTTTGTATGTAGGGGGTAATCGTTGGAACCGCTGGTCGGATTTTCAAAATTCTTTCACTCATAGATAGCTACAATGTTTCTGAGTGCTACAGGCTATAAAACATCACGCTACGATTAAATGGAGACGAGCAGCGGGTGAAACTGCGCGAGAGTAGCTAGTTGTTTATAAAACGGTAACATATCATGATGGTATTGTGTAATATATCAATTCTAAAAACTTGCCACTTTTACCCGTAATATAGATACTCGCAAATTATCCAACACGAACCAATCACACGCCTCTAGAACAATTAAGACCCCATTTCTGAACGATGGCGTCGACAAGTAGCTAGTTGTAATCCTATGGGGTTACTCGTACAAGTATGGAACAACAATATATCGCGAATGGCGTACCACTGAACAGGAAAATAAAACGCATTTCTTTGAATTGAGAGACGAGAATTGAAACGTGTGATTGATATAATCATACGAGATGTTGTTTTTTCAACTTTCTACGTGTTTTTTTTTTTATATACTTTATTTGGCTTTAGATGGAATATTTCGAGTTAATTGCTTGCAAGCTCTTACTTATAGAAACTATCGTTATTCCTGAGTCTTCTTCGCTGTTACAAATTACTGCAACTAACCAATCTAAAAAGGTTATAACTTATTCACCGGTACTAATATTATAAAGGGAAAAAAATAGGGTTGTATGCAGGGACCCCCTTGCATACAACCTTAGTTTTTGGAACCGCTGGTCGGGTTTTTAAAATACATCCGCGGATAGATATCAGTAGCTACCCAGCTATATTCCTGAACATAGGCTAAAACATCAAGCTATGATCAAATAGAGCCAAGCAGGGGGTGAAACCGCGCGAGAGCAGTTGTTAAAAATAAAAAAAAAACTACAAGTAACTGATTTTTCTTCCAAATAATGACAAACACAATTAAAAATCGAACAAAGAAGTTAATTATATAATTCGCAAAAAAATATGAAATGAGTTCATAGCAAAAATGAGAAGAAATCTTTAATTAGGCACAGTTAATTTATTATTTCAGAGAACTGGTTACACAATGAGCCCTTTCTTCGAGAAAGTGGTCCAGCCTTTTGTATCGAGAAAAATAAAAGAGCTCGAGAAATACTGGCAGGCGAGAAACAATCACGATCTCAAAAAAATTGCAATTAATAAGCTCACTGATCATTTCTCAAAATTTGCTGAATCAGTGATTTAAGAACACATACACTTTTGCGTTTTCATTATGATAAAGCAAATTGGAATTACCTATACCTAGGTATAATTTTAATATGGTGATAGATATGAAATAAAAGATTACTCCAACAGCAGGAAGGATAATTTTTAATAATGATATCGAGATTACTCTCTCTAAAGAATTCAAACATCAAATCATTATGCACACATTAATACCTTAAACAAAATGTACTCTAATGCAACAGAAACTTTTCAAAAACAGAATAAAAATGTTAAAAAATGTAAGCCAATATAATGCGCTGTGGAAGACGAAGAGTTACATCATAATTTTCTTGAAAGAGGAGGTTCAGACCGCTACATTAATAATTCAGGGCGGTCCTCTGATGCATTTGTTTGCGATGCCCGAAGTAACGTGCTACTGCGGAACTCTCAAATGGAAATGGTAAAGGAGACTTGAAAGTTTCAAACGTATTGGGAAAGTGTAGAGTTGAAGAAATTAGTTGGCTATAGTTTGAAGGAAATGAGGCAAATTTGATTTGTCATACTTAGTGATGGTCGAAAAGGTTAGAGAGATTTTCTTAATAATACGGAAGTTTAGGAATTAGTATTTTTAATAATGTTGTTGGGGAGATTTACAATAGTCGTGTTTATGTATTTTGTAATCTAAACTTATTGTCTCCAAGTTTTCTTCTTGTTGCACCTACCATACCTTTACCTCTCCCTACATCACCCTAAGCCAATTGGCAAAAATGCCCAAGTCCGCGCTTGTAATTTTATTTTTCACAAAGTTTAAATAAATAATAAAACAGCAGTGTCTTAACATGACCAAAAGGAAAAGCTTGCAATTATTATAAAAGACATAAACCGAAAATAATATAAAGTATCTTAGACTAAATTCTTTCAAAAATGCAAAAGGGAGCACATACACATCATGCAATCTTTGTTTTAGATATCACACAGCACCGGCTTCCAAACAAATATGAATTATTCACGCGAATTCGTCTGCCTGATACAAAGTTACATAATGTTATACATTTTGTATGCAATACCATCGTATTAACACGGAATGTTAGTTTATGAAATTGCATTAAACTTTATGTACTAGGATCAAAAGCCTGTTGATGTTAGTAAAAATTTTGTTGCTCTTTCTAATTTGAGAATTGTACATGGTTCTGTTTCGCATTTTCGTCTGAAGTGCTTATTGAATTCGTAGAATGTGCTCTGGTTGGAAATCATATCTGCTGTATACAGTTTTTCTTTTATCTTTCTAGCAAATGTAAATTATTTATAAAACCCGACTATTGTTTTAAGCAAACCTCAAAAAGAGGAAGGTTTTTTTATTATTAATTTGGTTAGGGACTTTTATAATCGCAATGCGTATGTCAATCCCATCTTACCCTAAATACAAATAACAGCATAATACCATTTAATTTCGCAATACTCGTAGCTGCACCATGAACCTAAACTAGGAGAAGGTTCGCTCATTTGAAAATGTATCTTTGTAATTTCTGTAAGATCTTCCCTAAACTCAATAGTGTTATCCGTAATATCAGTATTCCATTTTGTCTTGCAACAAATGCGTCAAGGCATTAACGTGTGTAAGATCAAATAATTAAGGTCTATTTCTTTATTTACAGCGAGAGACGAGCAGTATTAGACGCAGCAGCATTACAAGCATTGGCTGGCGAGAGCGTGCTAGAGAAGGAACGGCAGCTATCCGAGATGATCCTGCAACTGCAAATGGTTAGAGAGCAGCTGTTAGCACAACAAGAACACGCTAAGGTAAGGCACATCAAAATGTAGACGATATTGGACTAGTCATAAAAAAAATATTGATTGACTTCGACCTAAAAGTCAAATTATGGGGTATTACAACAGATCAACTATGTATTCTACGACACTAGACACAATCTCGTGTTAAATAGGTTTCATCGGGAATGGAGACTTCATACTTGCGTGACGTAGTACTTATTTTTATCGTCAACCTTCTATGCACAACAAAACATCACAGCAAAGATACAATGTTAAATTTTAATCTGGTAAAGGTCATTTTATTCCTCAGTGTAGTTAGTTTTGTCAAGATTTTATAAGCTGAGTAAATTCATAGAAACATTATGAATTTCAACACATTCACAATTTTAGTTGACCCAATAATATTTGTTATTAATAACAATCGGCGACGTATCACGTCAGTTTCAGTTTACGAATTAAAAATTGATCTCGATATACTTAGTTTTGACGCGTTTGATCTCTTAGAAAAATGTGTGATACCAATTTTTGTCACTTCTTCAATACTATCCTATTTCATATTTTGTATTAAAAATATAGTACATAGATGACCTCGTTTGCAGCTGCCAACTTGTTGTAATGAAGTTTGTCGGATTAGCATCGCGGGAGATAAATAGATTGAGGCTTATTCCCGTCTTGTGTTTCCGCAGTAAAGGGATTTTTAATTCGAAATTCTTCAACACCGTCACTTGAACAACTCGCTTTAAAAGTTTTATTTTCATCAATAAATGTTTTGTCTGCACTTTTTGCTGGTTCGATTCTAAATGGACTCACTTTATCATAAAAAATGTCGGTAGATACTAACAGTGGTATTTTTCGATACGTGAAACTAGTACTAATTAATCAAACGACTGCAATGTTAGCAATTATAATATAATTGGTGGGCATTTAAACTTTGAGCTCCGATTATTTAATTGGATTTTTTGCAACATCACCTAGAATTTTTAGCCTTTTAATTTTGACTAACAGCTTATATGTCATTTAATAAGCTATAATGATATCATTATGATTTAAAACAAACATATTGTTGAGAGGTGCTATCTTCAACCGATTTTAAACGCCATATTTTTTAAAAGACTTGATACAAAGCGAAACTAATCACAGTATTCACTAATTAGTATAGCAAGGAATACTAAAATAGAAGAACACGATTGTATTTGACCTCTCCACCCCACTTTGGAACGAGTGGTAATACTTTGTTTTCAAAGGCTTTTATCTAACTCCAGACATCTGTTTTGCATGCTAGGTCACGAATTGAAAAGGGCTAAGGAATGGAGGTTTATTCCTGTTTTGGAACTTTACGTTTGGTTCGTAAACTGGTGGTTATTGTTCCATTTCATGAGCGTTTATGGAGTTGACAGGTCTGCAGTGTTTATGTGGTCGTTTTAGTTTTAAGAATTCAACTGTAAATCATTGCATAAATTTTCCACAATGCTATTTATAATTGTCATGAGGTATTACGGTATTTCTTTCTATAGGACGTTTTGTCTTTTTGTGTAATAAAACTTGATGTATGGGTGATGATGCGTTGGTTCGTTATGTACGGCTTTGTGCTTAATCTGTTGAAGGTAAGTTGAGAGCATTTGTCTGCTAAAGCAGTACCTACCTATTGTATCCATTAGCTATAAAGGATAGTTTCCTATATCTTTCTTTGAACACATTTGAAGGGTTAAACATAATGAGTTTCGTGTTCGTGTATTAGTTCCTGATTCTCAAGTTTTTCTTTTTTCAAGCAATTTTGAACTTTAAATAGCATTATTAGCAAACGCATCTTCCTCATCAGACTTAATTTCATTCGGATTTGGTTTCATACTTCTGGGATTTGTGTAAACAATATTTACTATTTATAAACTATATGTTTAGTAATTTAATCAACATCAATTCATTCATAATATTCTAATTCCATGGCTGGTTTGAGACTTAAAAATTCTGATGTGAGTATAGACCTCTCTCTCATTGTAATTCCTCCCTCGACAGCCACTTTTTGTTTACCCTTTTTACAAATTAGGTTTGTTCCGGGACCGTGACTGTTCGTAAGGACTTTGTTATTTAGACTGGGGATTGTCTTTTATTTTATAGAGTTTATATAACCTGGTTGTTTAGCCTTTTGAAAAGTTAATGTGTTGATAATCAGTTTGTGTGGCTAAATAATTTCGACATGGATGAAAAACGAATCATTATTCGTTCAATATTTTTCGCTTGTATAAATTAATCCATTTTCACACAATAACATCATAATTATTTTCCCGTTCAATTATGGAACCCCGTTTTGTTCACAATTAATTCGAGTATATATCAAAGACTGTAACAATGGCTAGATTAAATCGAAATATAGCCCCTAATTATTACGAGCTTGCATTCATTTTCAATTAGCAATGTATACAATGGCGAGTATCCTTTCATTTGGAATCAATTTTCATGTTGAATGCATTATTGTGCTGGGCGCGTACAGTCGGCAACAAAGACACTCTCATACTAATGAATCAGCGATAAAAACTCGAACAACACTCGATCACATGCCCTCTGTGTAGGGCTGGCAGATTTATTTTGAATATTACTGGTTTGGTTCAGTCAAGAGATAGTGTTTGATTTCCTTATCATAATGTTATTAGTTATTGCAAAAAATATTGTTATGGGTCTAGCTCGAAATGCTCTTGAAGTGTACCAAGATGTTCCCTTTATGAATTAGGTCTAATAACATAAGTACAACTGAATATTTTTACACATTTTACATTTCAAATAGTTCAATTTATCCATCATTTAGAGTGACAAAAATCTGATCTGATCAGACACTAAAGCAAGTGGTCGAAAAACTATGAAAGTTTGGCAAATTCGGGTAACTCAAGTAGAGATGATATTTACTAATAAGTAAGTAATTTGCATACACTAGGTAGCAACCCTATAATTGTTGACGATATAGATTGAAGAGGCTCGTCTATAGCGGTGCAAATGGGAGCGGCTAATGGCGGGCCGCGTTCGTATTCGCGCGTTTTTTTCAGAACCGTCCCTTTGTTGACTGTGCTCGGTGCATTCGGAATAGCGTTCGATACGGCGCGTTCGATTCATAGATTTTTTTATGTTTTGTCTTTAGAACCAGACTGTTTTGTTTCGCGTGCCTGCCAGTGTTTCATTTTGACGGATGATGGTGCCAAAAAAGTATCGTCATGAAAGTAACACGAATACCCGCGCCGAATGCAGGGTTTTGGTTCCCCATACCGGTTTGAGTAGTGGTAATTACATTTCTCAATCTGAAATTGTACTTGCGTAGCTATCTATTACATTTTACATGATATCAAAGAAAAAAATTCAAGCACGTAAATGTGCTAAGTACAAACCTTACCAAAACAGAACAAGGCAAACCTTATATAAGCTACTGGAATTTATAAGCAACAAAAAAAAATACATCGAAACAAAATTTTTTATCTGTCTACGAGGGCACTCACTCGAATTAAAATATCGTCGAAATAAATGGAAAGCATCGGAGTATGTACCTACGCAGACACCCTATATTGTGCTCCCCATAGGGCCAGACAAACGGAAATATGAAAATGAAACGTATAAACGGAAAAACGCATCAAACGTTAGTACGCGACGGCTGCCGGACAAAAAATGAACACAAACGACACCGCTTAATTCGCAAAAAGCCCGTTTGATGTCGCTAATTGACAATCAGTCGGAGGACGCGTCTCATTGGTCCGTTTCCGCGTTCTGTTTTTAAAAATTAAAAACAAATAAATTAGTGGGGTGGCTGTCTTTGTATGACCTTTATTTGTTTGTCAGTGATGGGGGATGACGGACGATATAGGACATGCATATAGATTCTTATTTACCTGTATGTATATAAAAGTAGTTCATGAATTACTAACGATTAACACAATAATTTTCTTAAGATGAAAATTATCAGCTAAGAGAAGCAGAAGAAGGAGCGGGGTGGTTTTTAGTCAGTAAGATTCTGAAACTCCCTCTCGCTAACAGGACGGGATAAATCATTGAATCATTGTCTCAATAAAAAAACAATAAACACACAAAGCTAACATGTAGGTACCTAATTCTAAAATTATTTCTACCTACCAACCGCTATGGAATAAAACATACTACATAAAAGCTGAAATTTAAAAAATATTTTAAGAATGAAATGTCGGATCAAAACTAAAACAGGAACAGTTTTTTTAAAAAGGTGTCATTTCCCATTAACCGTCAAATGCGACCCGGTAAAGCGAGTCAACAAGTTGCTCTTTAAAAAAATATTTAATTTAAAAAAATATATATGTCCCTCGAATGTCGAGGGGTTAACCGTGTCAGACCAATTAGTTTTTGAAAGAAAACTACAGGAGTGACGGACAGACATGTGTTGACAACATTTTTGATTAAAAACTTTAAAAAGATAATATTAAATGTTGATGGCAACACACTCTTTAGCGCGGTACGCCTTTTTAACTGACTACTTAAAATAAACGTTTTATTTTTATACTGGTATCACTATATCGTACAGTTACACTGTTATAATATACTTAGAAAAAGTCTTCCGATTACAGAGTTTGGAACTAGTCCTTGATTTTATTGGTAAAAATTAAGTCACACAATACAAATAATTATTTATCTGAATATGCATCTCACATGGAAATAAATGATATTGTAGAGTAATTAAATTCGATTACAAAAACTAACAACTTACATTACAAAACAAAAAATCAACGGTTTTGTTAAAATAAAAAATGGCATGCCATTTTCAAAGTAATAACAATTTTTATTTTTCATTCGAATTTATATAAAGAACAGAATCTCAACAGCTAATTTTGAATTTCGAAACTGTACTCAACGTTAGTGATGTACAGTTTATCGATTAGTTTACTGACAGAACGATTAGTCATCGAGAAACGATTTATGATTGGCATACGCCATCACCCCTGTTTGTTCCACCATACATCACTAAGTTACTATTTAACTATTTTAAACGCTAACATGTTTCACACAAATTAGAAACACTACTTAAA